GTTACCACGTCATCACGTCACAAAGTTACCACGTCACAAAGTTACCAGGTCACAAAGTTACCAGGTCACAAAGTTACCACATCATCATGTCACAAAGTCACAAAGTTATCGCGTCACAAAGTTACTACGTCACCATGCTACCAAGTTACCACGTTACAAAGTTACTACGTCACCATGCTACCAAGTTACCACGTCACAAATTATATATATATATATATATATATATATATATTATTTTCACCACCCCTCCAGGTGGTTCTCTCTAACGTGTCATGGTGGTTTCGGGTTTTTAGTCCGTGACGTCTCTCTGGAGGAATAAATAGTTCTTTTCAACACTTGATTGTTTTTCCACAGGAAAGGGAAGAAGCCCATCCTGATCCTGAGGACTCAGCTCTCTGTCCGGGTTCACTCCATCCTGGGTAATTATGTCCTCCATGTTGTTTGTCTTTCCGTCCTCTCTCTGTCACTGAGGAGGATTTCCTCTCTGAGTCTCTTCAGAAGATACTCCGCTTCTTCTCCTCTATGAACTCTGGAATATGAACTCATATAATGAAGACTTCCAAACATTAGAGGTTCCTTCTGTTCTAATGATCCCCAAACATTCCTCTCCCTTCATTTGTTCTAAAAAACATTCTGCTCAGCAGACATGAGCCTGATAGAGGAACGTCTCCACAGTTTTGACGTTAACCATCACAGTGTCAAAGTTTTACTGATACGATCTGAACCATGAGTTAGCAGGGTTATCAGATGCTAATAGGGTTAGCACATGTTAGCAGATTTTTGCAGGGTTATCAGATGCTAACAGGGTTAGCATATTTTTGCACATGTTAGCAGTTGTCTGCAGTCTTTGTGAAATGCATTGTGGGTATTGTAGTCTCCTGAAGAAGAGGGACTGAGGGTTCTGGTGTTTGTGGTTTGTTGATTCCTCTAATGAGGAATTTTCTGTTGATTAATCAATTAATGAAATCAACGTATCACTGCAACAGAAAGAGGAGCTCATTCTAACGTGCGTTTCCTGAGGGTTTGAGTCATGAGACTATTTATCATCAACAAGTCTGTTCTGGTTTAACAGGATCACTGAAGTCTATCTGTGATAAACTGTGACTGAAGTAGTAGAAATAATAAAGTGCAGCTGACTGTGGATCAGTTTTCACTTAAGGAAACATTTGAATGAGTCTTTAATCTTCTTCTTCATCTTTAATGTGACCTCTGATTGGTCGGTTGTGTTGCAGGGTTTGAATCAGACTGTAGTGATCTGACCTGAGATCAGATTGTTGACCTCCCCCCCCCCCGCCTGGCATGACCTCTCCCTTCCTGCTCCAGAGGGGATTTCCCAGCATGCTTCCTGCTTCTAGTCGTCTCTGTGTTTTTGGTGACAGACTTGTCTCTGCCTTCAGGCTAAAACAAACCCAGAGACAGAGACTCTACTGTCCTCCTGTCTCTGCTTGTTCTTCTTCTGTGGTGGCAGAAACGTGACGAGTAGAATAAGTGAAAGTGTTTCATGTCTCTGATGAATCATGTTGGTTCATGTCTCACGGTGCGTTCAGGTCCTGGTCTCACGGTGCGTTCAGGTCCTGGTCTCACGGTGCGTTCAGGTCCTGGTCTCACGGTGCGTTCAGGTCCTGGTCTCACGCTGAGTTCAGGTCCTGGTCTCACGCTGCGTTCAGGTGATCGTCCTCAACTCGCAAACAATGTTCTGAATGAACTCGTGCAGGAAGTGAATCAGATAAATGAACGTGTTGACAGCTGTCAGTCAAGTCCTCAAACAACTCAGTCTGTGAGGCCAACCGTCATGATTTATTGTATTTATTTGTTCATTTATTTATGTCTCATAGAAGAACTCGGATGTTCTTCTGAGGTTCCCAACATCAAGTTTAATTTAAAGTTTCAGAAGTCGACCTTTTAAGATGAATCTGAACTGTGGATCCTAAGAACCTTAAAATAAAATGTGACTGAATGGATTTAGATTGTGAAAGCTGAGCTGTGTGTGTGTGTGTGTGTGTGTGTGTGTTTGTGTCTGTGTGTGTGTGTGTGTGTGTGAGTGAGTGATGGGGGGGTGAAACTCTTCCCCTCATCATAAACACAGCTCTCTGTAATCTAACCTCTCAGTTGGGGGAGAGAAACTGAGTCTGGCCGACGGCCATCTTGGGTCACAGTTAGGTGTTGGTGTGTGTGAGTCATCCTCCTCTTGTTGGTCTGAACTTTCCTGTGAACACAAAAGTCACATGATCTGATGGGACTCCTCCCACTGTGTTAACATGGCTGCTTCCTGCATCTAACTTCTGTCCAACATCTCTTTACATCTAACTGAGAAGAGTTTAATCAAGACCAGAAGACCAGATCTAGGTTCTATTATCTCGTCTAAAACAAAGATCTGTACAGAAATGAATAACTCTGGTGTCACCGTTTTATTTTTAGTTCTGTGAATCAGTGTTTCAGCTTCTGGACAATGGTGAAGTATTTTGGGACGGACAGCCGGTGTTTGATCCTCAGTCCTCTTGTTAAACTTGATATTCTTGATCCCTGTAGACCTCCTGTCTCTGAGGACTGGAGGTCTACACTGATCCCTGTCCTCTGGAACGTCTCTGTCTGTTTGGTTGTATTTTAGTCTGAAATGAGAAGTCACGTTTGCTCCGTTTGTCCCACGGAGCAATTTAAAGTGACTCAACCCTCCAGAGACAAACCTTTATTCAGAAGTTTGTTTTAGAAGTTTTAACCTCAACGTGTCCAAAGATCTCAAATCTGTCCACGTGTCTCAGATGATGCAGCAGATAAGTTTCCATTCAAAGAAACATGGAGTCTGTGGTTTCAAGCTGTAGTCTGTAGTTCACTGAGAAGAAATATGTGTATGTATGTATGTATGTATGTATGTATGTATGTATGTACAGTGGGGCAAAAAAGTATTTAGTCAGCCACCAATTGTGCAAGTTCTCCCACTTAAAAAGATGAGAGATGCCTGTAATTTTCATCATAGGTACACTTCAACTATGAGAGACAGAATTGGGGGGGGGGAAAGAATCCAGGAAATCACATTGTAGGATTTTTAATGAATTAATTGGTAAATTCCTCGGTAAAATAAGTATTTGGTCACCTACAAACAAGCAAGATTTCTGGCTCTCACAGACCTGTAACTTCTTCTTTAAGAGGCTCCTCTGTCCTCCACTCGTTACCTGTATTAATGGCGCGTGTGTGTGTGTGTGTGTGTGTGTGTGTGTGTGTGTGTGTGTGTGTGTGTGTGTGTGTGTGTGTGTTTCAAATAAAGGACCATGTATCTGAGGGTCTTTATGTGCATTGAGAGTAAAATCATTCTGATATCTCTACAAACGTTGAGCTGGTTTCTTTTGGCTCCGCTGGTCTGGCAGTGAAGTGAAACCTTCACCACAGACTCACTGAGCCACAGAGGAAAACTTCTCTTTGTTAGTCACAAAAAGTGAATGTTCTCTTACTCACTTCTTCAACAACTGAGCACCCTCAAACTAGTTCCCTGGTCCTGCTGTGGTTCTAGACCTTCTATCATTCTGGTCTTGCTGTGGTTCAGGTTCTGGTTCAGGACCAGTATAAACGGCCTCCCTCTGGAAACGACTGTATTTGTAAATAGTAACTCAGAGATTAGAGTTAAACTTAAAGTTTCTTTATTCCGTGTTTTACTTTGACAAACATTAAACCAGAAACAACACAAAGTTGTTTCATGTTTTCTAAACAGATGTTGTTTAAATAAGAAATACAAAAGATGATCTGAATCAGGAAATGAGTTATTAAACATTATGAGTCTGAGATTTACTTTCATCTTTCAGTACCTGAATAAAGAACTAATAAACTTATAAAACTTCTCCAGAAATCAGATCACAGATCAGCTTCATGCAGTTGAACACGATTAAAAGACTTCATTAATGATCACGATGGCTCCATTAGAAGCAGAGATCCTGTTTGTGTTCTTCCTCTGGAGACACTGAAGGTGTCTCATGGAAACACTGCAGCTCCTCTTCAAGAGGAAGAAGAGACGAGTCTTCATGTTCTCAGGTCAGAAATGTCTCGTCCTCCTGTGAGATGTTTCTTCATGACTTCATAATAACTATTTCTGTCTCATGACATCTGAGTGCTGAAGAGACGCTGAAACATTTCATCTACGTTTTACTGACCGAGTTCAGCCGTCGGTGTGTTTTGCCCTCAGAAGTTATTTTAAATGACTAAAACTGAAATGAGTTTAGTCTTTAAATAACTGTGGGAACCAACAGGACATGTTCCTGATGTCCTACAACCAGTGGAAGAAATAAATACTCTCGTATGTATACCTCAGTGTAGAATTACTCTGTTACAAGTAAAAGTACTGCATTCAAAGGTTTACTGAAATACAATGTGTGTGCGGATTTATTTCTGTTTCCTCTTTTTTTGCTTTGATTGATATCAGTTATTTTCTCATGAACTGTTTAAATGTTCAGTTCTTCAGTTTATTTATGATAGGAAAGCAACACTTCCTGTCTCAGGACGAGGGAAACGAGAGGGATGATTCCTTCTCTTACTTCGTCTCTTCTTCTCTTTGTCTGACTTCCTCGCCGACTTCTTTAACTTCCTCGCTATTTTCCTCTCTAACTTCTTTTCTAACTTCTTCTCTTAACTTCCTCGCTAACTCCTAAAGTTCAAAGTTCTTGCTTTCTTCATCACTCTCGACTTTGTGCTGCGACACCGACTGTGTGGGACAAGCTAAGGAAGTTAGCCTCACACTGACGATGCTGGTGTGTAACAGGTGTGATGTTTACCAGTGTAGCGTGTTAGCATGCTAATGATCAGTAAACACAGCTGAGGCTGATGAATGTCTTCAGCTCTGCAGATTTTTTTTGCTCATAAACCAAAGTACCATGTTGACCTGATGATGAGGAAACGGGATCAATAAAGATATTACGGTTCATCCTCAGGGGAACATGAAAGATGATCTATTCAATAAGCCTGACTTTGTGTCCTGGGCGGTTGGTATGGAGGTATTATAGATACTACTGTGTATTTGCAGTACTTTGAGGTGGTACTGTTAGCATTAGCATGTTAGCAGGCCTTTGTGTTGTTTGTGTAGTTGATGTGTTACTATGAGTTCTGCACATTTCATACCTATTTAAGGAGCGTTGTTGGAGGAAACCTGAGGTCTGACTTCTGCTTCTGTTGTTTTTGTACTCGTGACAACAGATAAGTTTAAATATGAGACTTTCATTTCTTCTTCTGCTCATCCTATTATGTGTATGTATACATCTATACACTGTGTGTGTCTGTTTGAACTTGTACGTAAACTGTTTGTCGTTTTCTCTGAAGTACAGAATGAGTCAGGGGTCGTGACCTCTGATAGAAACAAACAGGAAACGGTTTCATTCCTTTCTGGAGCGCCCCCCCCCCCCACCACCCCTCCTTTCTTCATCTTCTGGTCTCTAGTAAAACTGGATCAGATCAGAGTCGTAAAGCTCTGATTATTATAATATTAACTACAGTTTAACCAGATATTTCTTATTGAAGAAGACTTCTGAGTATCTTTGGTTATTAAAGAGATTAATTAAAGTTTAATTTGGGCCTCTGAGGAACATCTATAAGGGGAGACCTTCTATTAGCTATGGATCAAAGGAGGAGGAGGAGAAGAGGAAGAGGGAGGATTGATTGATTTACTGACAGCTATAAACTAGCACATTTTATTTTTTGGCAAAGTGACTCCCTGTGTTTCTTCTTCTTCTGGTGTTTCAGAGAAGCTGTATAACTCTCAGGGTCCAGAACTCAGACGGTCTCTGTTCTCCCTCAAACAGCTGTTCCAGGTAACAAACACACCTGAGCTCCATCCCATAATGTAACATGAACACAGGAGGCTTTAGACCTCATGTGACTTTTTCTTCTGGTCTCTGCAGGACGATAAAGACCTGGTTCCAGAGTTCGTGGCCTCTGAAGGTTTGACTTGTTTCGTTAACGTTGGAGCGGAGGCCGACCACAACTACCAGAACTACATCCTGAGAGGTGAGACAGCTCTGAGATCAGCCTTCAGTCTGTAACACACTACATCAGTTCATAGACTCACAGCTCTGAGATCAGCCTTCAGAAGACACAGATGATGGAAACAAACCAACAGAGAGCTGAAGACTGATACTGACCTCTCTCTGTTTGTCTGTCTCCATCTCTCTCTGTCTCTCTCTGTTTGTCTGTCTCTGTCCCTGTCTGTCTCTCAGCTCTGAGTCAGATCATGCTGTTTGTGGACGGGATGAACGGAGTGATAAACCACAATGAGACGGTCCAGTGGCTCTACAGTCTGACAGGAAGTCTGGTGAGTCTGATCGATCTCATCAGTTTGTATTGATTTACAATAACTGGGTCATGTGACTGAACAGTCACATGACCCAGTTCAGTGTGAGTAGAGACATGAACTAAAGAGACAGTTCATCAGAGCAGAGACGCCACCTGGTGGACACACACGCACGCTCACTGAACCTGTGTCTCTGTCTTCAGTCTCGTCTGGTGGTGAAAACGTCTCTGAAGCTTCTCATCGTGTTCGTTGAGTATTCAGAGTCCAACAGTCCTCGACTCATCGACGCTGTCAACACGGTGGATGGAGAGAGAGGTGCACACACACACACACTCGCACTGAAACACACACTCACCAAAAAAATAAAGAGCAGATTGTGTGTTTCGTTATTCGTCAAAGTCTAGTCCGTCAAAGAAAATATATTGTTAATAACATTATTTATTTAACATCAAAGTGACATCTTTAAAAATCTTTATTTATTTTATTTATAAATTTAATTTACTGAGAAATTAAACTGAAACTCTGTTTGGCATTTTTATTGAAAAATTGAAAACCATGAATCGGTTATCGAAATAACTGCTGATCAATATTCTGTTTGACTAATAGTTTCAGCTTTAGTTGAAGGGCCCGTCTGGAGAAAGTGGCGACATCTAGTGGTGAAGGTTCAGATTACAACCAACTCAACTTCTGTGTGTAGAGAACTAAGATGGCTGACATAAATACATGAATGCCTCTCTAGAGACGGGGTTTGGTTTGTACCTTGTAGGCTCCTGTAGAAACATGGTGAGCTGTTCTTCATGTAAACAGTTCATAAGGGAACAACAACAGGATTCTTACTATCAGCTGATTAAACACTCAAGAAAACATACTTGTTTCTATAAACCACATCGTGTGTGTGTGTGTGTGTGTGTGTGTGTGTGTGTGTGTGTGTGTGTGGTGTGGGGTAGGTTTGAAGCCGTGGAGTTGCCTGATGGAGGTGCTGGAAGAGAGAAACGGCTCTGATACAGAGCTCCTCATGTTTATCATGACACTCATCAACAAGGTAAATAAACAAGCTGTAAACAGACGGTCTAGCGCGTAAACGGACTACAATAACTGATTCGTGTGTGTGTTGTGGTTCAGACACTAGCAGTGCTCCCTGATCAGGACTCGTTCTACGATGTGACCGACAGTCTGGAGCATTTGGGGATGGAGACCATCATCCACAAACACATGAGCAACAAGGGGACCGAGCCGGACCTCCGAGCTCAGTTCACCATGTACGAGGTAACAACAACAACAACAACAACAACATGTTGTTCTTATATTGAACCTCGTTAGAGTCTTGAGACACAAAGTGACAGACAGGACATGTATTAAGAGATAAGATGGAACACAATCATAAAAGTGATTGGAGACGATCAATATGACATTTGAAAGAAAGCTTTTCATCAACTGTGACGTCTAAACCCTTATAGGTGGTCTTCATCTCAGTAGGGGACTAGATGTGAGGACCAGATAAAAGGTAGAACATCTTTTAACACTAATCAGGAGGAACAGGTGTCCGTAGGTCAGATATCAGGGCAACAGCACCAAGAATAAACAGTGGTGTCATCAGAATAGAGACGGACTGATGCCTTCATATTCTGACCCACCTTGTTCACATGAATAGTTAAACGGCCGGGTCCTAGAACTGAACCTCGAGGCCCTCCTCTGGAGACATTAAAGTCCGTTTCATTACATATTTATAACCGTTGTGTTTTTTATGGAGACTTTAATACACAACGTGAATATAACTCAGCGAATAAGTGACGTATTGTTTATTGAACAAGGTCGAACGAGGAGCAGACCAGATCTACTCTTTCTGTTCTTGCCTTTCACAATAAAAGCGTGTGTGTGTGTGTGTGTGTGTGTGTGTGTGTGTGTGTGTGTGTGTGTTGCAGACTGCTCTGAAGAACGAGGATGGTGAGATGGACGACTCCTCCCCTCACCTCCGTAAGGAGAGAAGAAAGATGGCCGCCGGCGATCAGGAGGGACGGAGGAGCCGCCGCTCATCCAGCCAAAATCTGCCGGACCTCCTGTCCTCCTCCACAGGCTCCTCCGCCTCCCCCATTCCCCCCACCTTCCTCTCCCCCACCACTGCCAACACCCCCCCTCCTCTCCTCCGCCTCCCCCCCTCCCCCCACCTTCCTCTCCCCCACCACCGCCAACACCCCCCCCCTCCTCTCCCCCGTTATCTCCTCCGCCTCCTCCTCCTCCACGGCGGAGTTGGGCAGCAGGGCCTCGTCCCCGCTGACGTCTGACACCGGCAGCCCGGCTGCCTCCAGTCCGTCCGGGTCCCACAGAGGGTCTCCTCTGCCCCCCAACACGCCACCCAGAGGGTCTCCTCTGCCCCCCAACACGCCCCCCAACGGTACCGAGACCACAGAGCCGGAGGCCAAGTCTCCGTCCAGTGCGTAAGTTCACTCAGTGCAGCTGATATATTTCTATATATAAAATATATTCACTCAGTACCAGGGTCTGAATCACCGAACACATTCTCTGAGTTTTATTTTATATTCTAGATAAAGATTAAGAAATATAATCAATAAATAAATAATGATGTATTACTATAGATTAAGACTTTACATTCATGCGTCACTAATCATAACGCAGTAGTATAATGTATATTATTATGCATAATGAGTACTTTTACTCTTTGCTACTTGAAGTATACTTTTGTACTTTTACATCAGTGACATTTTGAATGCAGGACTTTTAATTGTAATGGAGTATTTCTACATTGTAGTATATGAGTATACACTATATACTTGTACTGCAGTGGAACTATTTGATGACATCAGTTGAGGCTCAGTTCTCTGATGTTGTATAGATTAAACAATTCATAGAAACAATAACTTGTAAAGGAATCCATAATAGTTGGGGTCCCTCTCTCTGCATGTCTGGGTCTGGGATTTGGATTTTGGTTCTCTTCAGGTTCTGGGTCTATTTTGGTGACTTGGTGTTTCCTGTCTCTGATCACTGGTGTCTCTCCCTTCCTGCCTTCCTCCCTTCCTCCCTCCTTCCCTTGGCGGGTCTGGACCACTAGGAGTCGCTCTTTCCTTAGCCACCACATGTCAGCTCTGGGTCTGAGCAGGAGGTCCAGGCTCTTCTCCAAAACCAGCTCCATCTCTGAGGAGCCTTCAGCCTCCTGCAGGTCTGTAACAGAGACCTGAGACCTGCTGACATGTTGGCGCCCCCTACAGGCTTCAGATCATGGAGTCATGTGATCGTATCGTCATGTGATCGTATCGTCATGTGATTTAATGTTCTGAGATCATCTGTTCAGCTCATTAATGTTCCAACTGGTCTCGTCTGGTGTTTCAGGTTCATATGCATATATATTAGTGCTGGGCAAGTTAACGCGTTAATTTCGCGTTAACGCATTCATTAATTAACGCCGACAATTATTTTATCGCGCGTTAACGCATTTTTTAAATTTATTATTATTTTTTTTTTATTGAAAGACAAGAGACAATACATAGACATAACAACAAGAGGATGACAAGAACAGTGAGATAAAAGCCAGCAAACATCCTATAGTCAGTAATTTTAGTGCACCTATATGCTGAAATTCACGGTAAACGCATTCAAACGGCACAGATCGGGAGCGAGCGAAGGACTTTGAAAGTTAGCGGAAAGATTAATGTGAGACAACATCCGGTTTCTTCAGACGAACATCCGGTTTTCAGAATAAGATGCCAACAAAGTATGAATTATATTCACATTAAGTATAAAACATGCTACCTGCATCTCGTGAACCAAATGCTATTGCACTTTTGTTCATATAGCAGTACTTTTAAAATAAAAGTGCGCAATACACTACTTTTGAATTCATTATTGAACTTTGCCATAACAATGCGATTAATCGCAAAAAATCCATGCGATTAAATATTTTAATCGTTGCCCAGCACTTTAGTTCAATAATGAACTAAAGGTCAATAACATTTGGTTTAAACACATCAGGTTCTTGTTAGAAGCAGTATTCCCTTTACACAGCAGCAGTTATAACACAGTTATAATGATTCTGATCATAGATATTCAGCCGGTGTTCATAACTTTATCTTTATGTGTGTAAGAGATATTTAAATATACAACTTGAAAACTGCAAACATATCTACATCATGTTTTTGTTTGTTAAATTCTCAGTAGCGATAACTAAATGATGCTTATTATACATATTACACACAAAACACTTTAAAAACTCGACAATATGTATGTTAATATTGTCACTGTTGTACATTGTTTGATTGCATGATTTACCTTTCATTTTTTCATGTGAAGAGCATGAAAACGGAAGTGCTTTTACTTTGAAGAGACAGGAAGTAGAATGGTACATGTTCGCTAACAATGTTGATGATGCGTAGAAAACCACATGTCGGGTGCAAGAGCACGTTGTGTTCACTGTAACACTAATACTGCAGTTCAGACAGTAAAGTGTTCCGTTCAAACAAGACGTGTCTTGTTCCTCACTAGAAGCTCCACTTCACAACAGTCACGTTTGATCTGTAACGAGGTGTGAGTGAGTCGGTGTGTATGTGTATATATATGTATATATATATGTGTGTGTGTGTGTATGTGTTTATATATGTGTGTATGTATGTGTATGTGTATATATATATGTGTGTATGTGTATATATATATGTGTGTATATGCATGCACACAAGGAATGAACTGGCAGAAAACGATGTTTGGAGAGTCTTTACACCCTTTTACACTCCGTGTGTGTGGCAGCTCGTCTTCCTCAGACCTCCCTCACCAGAAGTCGTTCCAGTTGAACCAGGAGCAGCTCAACAACAAGACGGAGACTAAAACCAGTTTCAAGTAAGTGGAGTAGATGTACTGTGATTCATGGTGACGTAGCTACAGCAACCACGATGCTGCAGATTAAAAGCTATTTTATATTTATTAATTATATCTGGCTCTTTTCTGGTTTATCTTCACATTGTATCTGGATCTTTTCTGGTTTATCTTCACATTATATCTGCATCTTTTGTGGTTTATCTTTAGATTATATCTGCATCTTTTCTGGTTTATCTTTAG